ACCCTGCTGCATAGAGTTTCCAACTCCTCACACTCTGCTATTTCCCAGAAAAGGGCTGAGCAGAGCATGCCAAGGTATTTACATTTCAAATTTACCCATTTACACAAATAAGTGACTCCCTGAGGGACAAACTAATAAAAAGATGGAAGTAGGTCTGAATTACATTAATCACGTTCCCTCCATAAAGAAAGAAACATCAAAAATAAGGGATAGGCTCCCTCCCAAAACTACATTTAAACTTTGGGGAGGAAAACACTACACCATTGACATGTAAGATGTTGTCGTTGGTGTTAAATGCCATCAGGTCAGTAACAACTCATGGTAACCTTGTGTCCAAAAGAATAAAGTATTGCACAGGCCTGCACCAATGTACAACAGAATGAAACACTGCCCAGTCCTGCGCCATCCCATTATCGCTGCCCAAGTGTCAATCCATCTCATTGGAGGTCTTAGGACATTTTTTTCTAGAATCTGAGAAACTAGAGAATTGCCAAATGTACATGAACAACTAAAGTTAATCTGACTCCATAGCCCATTCTTTTTGTTACACCAAAGCTGCCTCTCTCAATAACACACAGGGTCCTCAAGGATGGGGAAGAGAAAAGTATGTTAGTTTGAGCAAGAAGAATCAACTATATGATAGTGTAATGAATCCAATGGTGGCCACTTTACAAGATTGCAGAGAAATTCAATGCCTTCTCAGCACAAACAATTCCATCTGTCACAGCATCCTGTTGTTCTGGACATGCATGCTGTGTATATAGGGCACTGAAATAAGTGCCCTCATTCATGAGGACATGAAGCAGAACTCTGGAAATACTCAGTAACCCTTAGATTTGATGTTATGTACCTTTTTCTTTCCCGGCAAGAAGTCTTGCTCTCATATTGTGCAACTTTCAATCACATTGCATGTAAGGAGCTATAGAAAGGACATTAATAATGACAAAGGAATTAATAGTGCCACTAGACTAAAATCCTAGGACCTGAGACTATGGGAAGGAAAACCTCAGGGAATTGGGACTTGAACATTACTTTCCAGAAAGCTTCTACTTGATTATAAAGAACAATGCTACTTGATTATGAAGAACCATCACTTGCAGAGAGGTACCAAGAATCATTCAATCAGTAATTCATCCCTGGAGATCCCATAGGATGAGGTAACTGAAGAACTGTAAAACCTTTAAACATTCATAATTCTCAATAATCTACATGGATAGATGTTTTCCATAATCTACTCATCATTTTAATAACTTGTATTTAGGAAGTTTTTCTGTACAATGTAAAGAATAAAAGAATCCTCACCAGTGGACCAATAAGCAACATTCATATCAATAGAGAAAAGATTGAAGTTGTCAAAGACTTCATTTTGCTTGGATCCACCATCAACACACTCATGGAAGTAGGAGTCCAGAAACCAAACAATGTATATTGCATTAGGCAAATTAAGACCTGTTTTTTGAAATGTTCAAGAGCAAAGATGTCAGTTTGAGAACTAAAGTGTGCCTAACCCAAGTCATGGTATTTTTATTAGCTTTATATGCTTGTGAAAGTTGGACAGTGAATATGGAAGAGTGTTGAAGAACTGATATATTTGAGTTATGGTGTTGTAAAATATTAAAAGCACAACGGACTGCAAGAAAAATAAATAAATCTGTTTTATCTGGAACAAGTATAACCAGAGTGCTCCTTGGAAACCAGGATGGCAAGACTTTATCTCTCATATTTCAGATATATTGTCAGGAGGAACTAGTTCATGGAGGACATCCTACTAGATACAATGGAAAGTCACAGAAAAAGAGTAAGGCACAGTGGAAGTAACAATGGGCTTAAGCTTAACAACGACTGTGAGAATGGTGCCAGACTGGGAAGCCAGCTAAAGGAAGATTATAAACAAACAAACAAAATTTTTGATAAAGGAAACAAGGGTAAATTGCTACAATTTGAAGAATATGGCCTATATTCAACATAGAGGGAAAGAGCCTTCAGATCATGCATCAATGCTATCCCCTCTGTACACAAGGTAGAGAGGGATGGGCAACTTAGACATGGGCTACCTAAAATGAGGGTGCGATAAAGGCACTAAGTGACTGGCTTACAAGGTTTTAAGAGGGAGTTTGGTTTAAGAGTGTGGGATGGGAGGGGAGGAAGAGTCCCCACTGAAGAGTTTTCATCTTGTCTAGATAGGTCTGGTGAAAAGAGATGGGAATAAGATTCGTATGATTCAATAGTGAGTAATTGTTATCATGACTAATTGCGACTGTCACAATTGAAAAGGTAGAAGTTTTGTAACAAAAACAGGGGAGTGGTTAATCTTAAAAGTCCAGAAACAGAGGACCTTAGGACCATTAAGGGAAAAGAGTACAAGCAGAACGCAGGACCTTATCCAGAGAAGCAACAACGCCAGACGGAGGCAGAGATGGTGACATGGAGAGGGGGAGTAGCTGAGGACTCTAGGTTCATGGGAAGAGAGAGACTAAGAACTATTGGCCAGAAGGCAGACTTGGAGAATGTGACCTTTGATCTTTGGTAGTATAAATTATTATATATGCCTGAGTGCTTTTTGTTTGTTTTTAAAAACTCAAGTTTTTAGAGAGAAATACTACTGACTGATGGTATATGGAGGGGGTTATAATCACTGTAATGAAACAAGGTTTATGATTTGTTGAATGTAAAACTGATGATCTGCCCTGTAAACTTTCTCTCAAGCCACAATAAAAAACTTTAAAAAAAAAGAAAGAAACCCTGATTTTTTTCTTCAGTTGAATGTTCTGGATTCCAGTTTTCTGTTATAAGGGGTTTTAATAGAAATATTAGTAATAACAGGTTAAAATTTATCAACAACTCCAAAGATGTGTCGAAAACATAATATATCAAAATAAAAGGTTAGAGGTTAGTATTTTTTCCATTAAACAGATTTTATATTTTAACTGAGCGTAATGAAATTCCTTCTACTTTAAAAATGTTTACATGTATCTTCGCTACACAATACAAGAAAATGTTTTTTTCATGTTGAAAATGGCTATAAAAGTTTATTGCTAAAGACAAAAATGGATTATTCAGGCCATAACTAGCTTATTCAAATACAATGACAACATTTGGGAAGTTTGCATTCACTTCCAAAACCCAGTCCAAGTTCATGCAAAAATTATTTCTTCATACTAATAAGGGTTGTTTTCATTTTCAATCTTTAAAGCAGAGTGCAAAATTCATCAAGTGTTCCCAAATGAGAACAACAGCTGTTTTAGCCAAGTTCACAGGAATAAAATATGTAGGACCTCATAAATCTGGAAGGAAATATCAAGTTTTTGAAAATGACAATGTGATTCCCTGCTTGGAAGATGAGATTTTAGGGTACTACTGAACTATACCATTTCTAGAAGATAAGGAAACATGCATACTTGAACCTTACAGCTTTAGAAAATAAAATAATGAATTTCTGATGTTAGATTAAAAGTAGCAGTTATGTATATATTCTGAAACCACTTATAAATGCCACAAAACCTAAAATAAAAACTCTACAATTGATGCTTGATACTTGAGCTTCCTAATAATTTTAAATCACTATGAATAAAATAGTATCATTTAATAATTATTTAAAAAAACAAAACATAGGCCTATAGGCAATTAATATGATAATAAGAGATGCAGGAAGAGTTTGCACTTAAGTACAGTGTCATTTTATTAATTTCCAAATTGAGAACTAAGTTACATATTTTTATTTCTTTACCTCACACTATTATTTCAAGAGTGTAACACAGGTATTTTAATCTACTATAGAACTTCTGTGCAGGTAGTAAACTGAATAAAGGAAAACAAAAAATAGGAGGCTGAATTAGCAAAACAAAAATGCATGTTTTATTTATCCTTGATAACGGGAAAAAATAAAAAAATACAGAAATGTAAGAGGTTATAGGGCATAATAAAGTTTATTTTTAAGAAATGGAAATATGTCCCTGAACAGTTAAATGTACCTTTTTAGTAGTAGTCATTGTCTAATAGTAAAGAATCAGTTTCTTATGTTTTATATGGCTGTCTTAAATGATTTTTAAATTTAAGAGCTGCATTCCCCATATATTTTAATGCTGACATTAAAAAGCAAAGACATAACTGAAGACAAATGAAATATAAAGTGATATGTAAGCTGCAAAACTCAATAGCTTATGTAGAGTAGATTCCAGTTGTTAACAACGACTACTATGATCAATTTTTAATCTCTCTCTCTCCTCACACATACTCACTTCCAATAAACATACACACCTTACTCCTGTTACTCTACAAATACATACATTTCTATAATTTGAGAACAAAAATTTTGCATATGTCAATGCAGGACATGATTTTCACAAGTTAATCCTATTATCATAAAGCAAGAAGCTATTACTAATACAGAATATTATTTGTTAAATGTAAAATCTAAAGAAAAAATTATTACAATGACATTGAAAGATATTTTTATTGGCTTTTTAAAAGACAACTGCAAATGAGAATAACTTGTTCCAAAATCCAAAAATTAATTTTCAAAAATGTCTTAAATGAAATAAATATAATATTTAATACAATCTTTTCCTGCAAGAATCTCTAAGATAGGCAATGCTAAAAAAACTAAGCTGTGCATTTGAGACTCCCTAGAACTGGTATACCCTTAAAAAAAACAAACAAAATTCCTGTAAAGGACATTTGATACACTCACATTTTCTTACAATCTGTCCCTAAAACAAACTATATTTTTAACACCTAAATTTTCTATATATATTAAGTTCACTTAATTTAAAATTTATGAAAAGATAACTACACACAATATCTAAGAAAGCAATGGAGACATAATTTACTCATGGTTATTTACAGAACAAATTTTGCTGAATAATGTAATATCATGGTCAGAAAACGGACAAAACCTTTCGAATAATCAACACTGTAGATTTCAATAAATTTATATATAACAAAGGATGTGTTATGTGCTGAGTTACTACATAAATCTAAGAGCTGGAAACAGAAGCATCTGACATGGTTAATCATTTCATATTTATTATGCTAAATGTCAGGTCAGAAGCCAGTGGCACTTACATGCTGGAAGACTGTTTATCACTCAACGCTTTCAATTATAGCAAACACTGATTAACCAAATGTGGCTGGATTTGACTGACATCAACTTTATGTTTCTCCAAGCATATGCAAATCTTTTAATAGGTACATATGCCAATGTGCAAGACAAGTGAAATATAAATATTGAAGAGAATGAACCACCCCGTCACTCAATTTTGAAGCTGTATTTTTTCTTCATTAATTTTTCTTCTAAGTAGTCTTCTATCCTATTATAGTTGTATGCTTACAGATCATCTGGAAATTTCACATTGGTATAGGAAAGGAATGTCTGGTCGATGCAATCTAGACAAAGAAAGAATGTGTCTTAAAATGTATCACTGGTAACAAAAGAAACAAAAAACCAAACCTCTGTTATTAAGCTAATTCTGACTCATAGTGACCCACAGTGACCTCATGTATTACAAACAACTGCTCCATAGGATTCTCTTGGTGATAATCTTTAAAGAAGCAGATCACTGGGTCTTTTCATCATGGCCCCAACTAAGTAAACTCAAACTGCCAAACTTTAGGTTAATGTTGTTTAGTGCTGTCAAGTCAGTTCTGACTCGTAGAGACCCTGTATAGAGTTTCCAAGGAGTAACTAACTGATGGCTTTGAACTGCCAGTCCTGTGGTTTGCAGTCCAGTGTGAGTGTAAACTATTGGTACCACCCAGGGACCTTGGTATCACTGACAATACATTCTAAAATCTATTTAACAGAAGTATTATAACAAGAATACAATGACTATTCAGAGAATAAATACCATTTGGGACAGGAGGCCTTAACTGAACATTTAAAAAATAGTTTAATATGATCCCAAAATACAATTATTATCTATTATATTCTTAAGCATATATAAGTGAATTATTTAAGCTTTTACTTAACTCATATAAGTTATGGATAAAATTTGCAACAAAATCACAAACCATATAATTTATTTATAAAAAGGAAATTTAATTATAGCAGCTTTGAAACACTTTGTACTTATAATTCCATATAAACATGTTAAGTGTGTTAGTAAATATTTTGTTTATATAGTCCATATATTTTCAAAATTCAAAGCACTTATAGATATTGAGTGTATAGTGCCTGCTTTGAAAAATAGGACAGGCAATAAAAATCTGAGGTCTGTTCATAGGAAGATACTCCTCGCTGCAAAATAAATAAATACTATTCCGATGTCCACAGCTTCCAGAGACTCTCCCTGGGTAACCATTTAGATGGTCTCTACTCACTACATTCCCCTTTATTCAAGCTGTAGGCTTCATTGTTGATACAAACTGACCCACATTAAGAAAATAATAAGAGCTCCTACTTTTCCTCACAGCTTTTATTCCTGAGTCAGTCTGCTAAAATCTATGCATGGCAAATCACTTTTCAATTACAGATATGGGATTTTTTTCCACCAAATGTTTACGTAGAGGTCACATTGTTTAATGCAAAATGCCCATTCCTCCTGTAAGTACTTTGTCATATTTTGTTTGGTTTTCAAGCTTTCAAATTTTTTGCTGCTGATTACTTCTTGGTAATTTGTAATCGATCTTTAAAAAGAAGTTTTAAAAGTCTGATTTATTATATCAGCAGAGTTTTAAACCGAAAACTATGTATCTTAGAAGTATTTCAGTTTACTTATATAACAAAAAATAATATAGTTTTTTAAAAATCTAAAAATTATCTAAACAGAACTATAATTTCACTAAACTTATTGTTAAGAGTATAGAAATAAAGATACGAAATCTGAGCACGCTAGGGAAGTAAATAGTTACATATTAATACCTCTCACCTTTATAGTAAGAAGAAATATCTTGTTCTGTGAGCAGCTGCCATACTTTCAGACATGTTTCTCACTTTTAGGTAATTAACAAATCCTCTGAAGAAAAGGAGAAGGCCTGAGAAGGTTAAAAGAATACGGATATATTATGTTTCTTTTATGGAAGGGGGGGGGGGCACAACAAATCTTAAAAAGACAACTATAAACAAGATCTTTTTGGCTTAAGAATTTCATCATAAGATTTCATTCATTCCACAGTATATTTTACACTATTAAAACTACTCCATCATATTTAATATTTAAATTCTACACTCCAAAAGTTCTTTGTTAAGGCAAACCGAACCAGCAATGAAAACTGCATTTAGAGATTTGTTTAAATAGCAAAGTTACCCAATGTTTTTAAACTGATTCAACTCACAGAAATTCAATTTTATATCACACTTGTCTATTCATACATTGACTGGGCAAACTGAAGTCTACTTAACTATTCAAAGAGAACACATGCATATAGCTTCTAACAACTATAGGATAAAGCCAGCAAACTTGTCTAACAATGTCTGTCATCTGTGAAATATGTATTTGAAGATCTATGCATATCAAAAATATCTGTATTATCATTTATCCTGAAGTAATAGTAAGTCTTTATAATAAAAATTACATTAAAAGATAGGAAAGAAGACCTAGCAGCAATCTAGTGACTGATTTTTTAGGTGACCTGCATACATCTTTTATCTATCTCAACTTTCTCCTCTCTAAAATGGTATTTAAAAATAGTATCTATATCACAGAAGTCCTACTGTTGCACTAGAATAAGCATTGGACTACGAACCACAAAGGTGGCAAATCAAACCCACCAGGTGCTACTTGGAAACCTCATACAGGGTCACTATGAGTTGGAACTGACTCTATGGCACTTAACAACAATATTATAGGCTGCTTTAATAATTAATAAAATAATAGTGTGAAATGGTTCAATCAAAGTTTCAGATAATAAAACTTTAATTAGAAAATTTTAAGCAGAAACAGAAGGTATATGTATTTGTAACTTTCCTCCAGGAGAAATATAGTTCATCAATTTAAATTCAGTGTCCCAAACAAGACCTGATTCCCAATTCAAAGACAGTAATGGAAGCACTTAAAATAAAGACAATTAGAATAAATCTGAGTGGTGAGATAGAAAATATACACAATTAATGATTTAAATGAGTGGGATCAATTTCAGCTAAATCCAATTCCACGTGCTTTCAACTCCCTCTATTTGTGATTCCCACTCTAAATTCCACTCTCATGACCTCTGCACGCTATTCAGATATATTGGTATTGCTATACAAATGTAGAAGTATTACTGAAAAATGTAAACCAGAACTATTTGTGAGGTCTTCTGGCCTTTTTTCACCTATGTAGGTGTGTTTCTAAGCCATAGTTTGTTCTGCTCAGGCATTTTCTGAAACCAGCTAATTCATACATCTAGAAATCAATCATTCAGCAACTTGTTTCTCAGAACTCTACAATGTGCTCATCATTCTTTCTAGTACAGGTAGCCCCCAACTTCTGACAGGGTTGTTGTTGTTAAACATTGTCGAGCTGCTTCCAACTCATAGTGACCCTGTATAGAGTTTCTAAGGAATGGTTGGTGAGTTTGAACTGTCGACCTTGCAATTAGCAGTATAGTGATTATCCTACATACTGTCAAGTCCATCATAAGTTTGTTCTGTCCTAAGTCAAATGTTTCTCTTTTTTTTTTGCATTATTATTAGCTTTTATTATCAGTATCTTCATAAATTCAGCAGTGTTTTGGACAATAAATCATAAAATTGAATATCTGCAAGTGAACATCTGAGAATAACATCAGCAAATTATTTATTACAACATATTTCTAACACTAAGATGTCAAAAAGAGAGAAAGAATGGTCCTAAGTGCAGTTCGTCATAACTTCAACACACTGTATATTAGGGCTACATTTTTATCATGGTTAAATTTTCATGCTACATCTGTTAAATAAATGCTAGATTATGGCTGTGATACGGCAATGGAGTTGTCCTTTTACATTCTACTCTGTTCCCACGATTGTCTTTGAAAGACTGCTCCAATCTCTTAACACTAGGTAGGTGTGTGTGTATATATCTACATTTGCATACAACACAGATACTGTTATTAAGTGCTGTCGAGTTGGTTCCAACTCATAGCAACCTGTATAGGGTTTCCGAGGAGCGGCTGGTGAGCTTCCACCACTGACCTTACTTTCAGTTTGATCTTGCAGCTCAGCGTATTAATCTACAGCGTCCTACCAGGACTCCATATATTTTCATGTTGTTGTTGTTGTTAACTGCCATCAAGTTGGTTCTGACTCATAGCGACCCTACAGGGTTTTTGAGGAGTGGCTGATGGGTTTGAACCATTGACCTTGTGGCTCAAACTGGCTCTGTGGTGCAGCACATTATCCAGCAGCACTACACCCGGACTCCATAGGTATACAGTGTCTTTATGAATCACAACCAATGCAACAGCACTTAACAACAACCACCACTACCACAATATGTATGTGTGGTGGCAAATATACTACTTTTATACATTTAAATGTATAATGGGATTTATAATTTCTTTTTTCACTTTTAGGTAGGAAATTCATTAAAGGGCATAAAATTCAGGCAGTCAGAACACAATTAACTGGCAAAACCCCTTTACTAACTCTCCAACAAGGCCACAGTTTTAAGGTAATTTCAACATAATTATTAGAGAAAGAATCCAGGATCTTCAGTGACCTTAACTGACCAACAAGAACTTGTTTCCCAAAAGATACTTAAGATTCAGGAGCAAGACTCAATGAAAACTCAAAGAGAAGAGTGCCACCTACTGAAATACCACTAGTTTCTAGTACACTATATTTCACTAGAGAAATGGGCTTGAAAATATAAGTTTCATGAAATAAACTATTTCTTTCATGTCAGTATACAGATTTGAAATAGGGACTAAAAATACGTGATCTTAAAATCAATTTAATTAGTATGCATGCACCTAAAGTAAAACACACAAGGGACCAAAGTTAGAAATCCATAAAATTCATCAATATGAACAAAAAGAAATACCTTCTAAGAAGACAACTCAACAAGTGTGCTGTGATCATTGAGCGTGAAGCCCTTTCTTATGCCTGACTGAGTACTGATTAATGCAGTGCACATTTCAAAGGCATAAAGAATGTTTCCATGATCAGAAAGAAAATAGATACAACACCCAAACTATACTTGTCTCAACATTTCCTAAAATCACTGTAAGAAACTATATAATATATTCTTTAAGATAAATGCTGAAGACAATTATTTTTTAATTGTATTTGAGCTTTCAAGTGTTATAGCATTATTCAATTATCATTCAACCACAGATTCATTAAATTGACAGTCTCTTGATTTTAAATCTAAGACCTCTATCTAGAGTTACTTGAAAAGCTGAGAATTAAGTGTTTTGATAAGAGAACTTTAAAGTAGAAAAATTTCTACAAAAGTTGCAATTTATTGATGTCTTGTAATTTTAATAAACATCAAGGTTAAACAAATTAACTAAAAACTAAGCAAACCTAAATGCATTAAAAATAAACTTACCAAGTACAAGAAATATCCACCAAAGCCAATACTGCCCATTGAAATATCCAGTAAAATAATCAGAAAACTATGGAATGAACATAAATGTATTTGTTATTTGTGTACCTAAGTTTGAGAATCACAGATTAGCTCTGGTTTGAGAATTACCCCAAATAATCTTTTAATACTTTAAAACAGCACAGAGGGAGAAAAAATACTTAATAAACACATATATAATTATTTGAGGGGAAAATGTAATAAATAGTTAGACACAGCATTTTAGGACTACAGAACAATTTCAAACTGCTTATAAGAAAGAAAGGTAAACATTACACAGTTGAATCACACATTCTTCCATTAAGGAGTTTACATGTCAGCCCTTTTTTCTAATCTCTCAAAGCCATGACTACTATCCCAAACACACTACAGCAACCTGCTGCTTTAGATATTAACACCAAATGCCACGTTAGTTTAATCTTATCAAATGGGGATGTTCTGCTGACCTCTACAAAGAAGAGCTCTTGACCTTCTGTACACCCCCTACTGTTAATCAGTACCAAGAATACTAGGCACATAAAGACCCTAAACTCATTAGAGTCTTATTTTTAAACTAGATGCTCAGCATTCCGTTGCTAACACTGAACTGAGAACAGCTAAATGAACCTTGAAGTGGAAGTTCAGCCATTTCTGTTAGTGGCCATGGGAAGGCAGTTTTACAGTCTTTGTAAAGTGGAATACGAACATGCAGCTGTAGGCAGGGTTTGATGCTATTCAACACAGGTATCTTTTCCTTGACTAGATTCTCGACATCACACTTTCTTTGTTCATTTAAAAAACCAAAAATACCAATCTAAGCTTCTGTAGTTTACTTCAGATAATTACTACTGGTCATTCTTTATTTAGCACTTAAACACAGCCTTCAAAGGATTTTTTTAAAAAATATTCATGTTTTATTTGGTTGTATTGTTTTTAAAAACATTTAATATAATCTATTCTAAAGCTATTAAAAATCAGCTTCCTTTATCAGTCATTAATATGATTTAACTAAAAATGATTTGTCAATTGTAAAAGTAAACTTTACTCAGAACTCTTATATTAAAGTATCTATCTCCAACTTTATTCCAGTCATTTCCAATTTTTCAGAGCTCAGGTAGTATAGTGGTTACGAATCGGGCTGCTAACCTCAAAGTTGGCAGTTTGAAACTACCAGCTATTCCACAGGAGAAAGATGAGGCTTTCTGCTCCCGTAAAGCTTTGTACCCTTAGAAACCCTGTGCAGGGTCACTATGAGTTGGAACCGACTCCACTGTACTTAACAACAACAACAACAATTTCCATAAAGGTTTAAAAATTCTATAGCATTGGAAATAATAAAAATACTTACAAATTTTAAGAGCACTCACTCAGGATTAGCTAAATCATTTTTTCCCAAGTTTTTTAAAATACATTTTCCCAGGAATTATTTTCAATTAATAAGTGAATCATGATCTAAAACGCTCAGCTTTGAGTTTCAGAATTATAAAGTTTTGAAATTTCAAAGTACTACTAAAGGTACTGACACAAGCTCCTATACCTTTAAAATACGTAAGTTGGAGGAAGAACTTGAACATTTAAAAAACACAGCTTGTAAAGTAATCAGCACATAGAAATACAAAGTTTTTATATAAGTCAAATCACCACAGAAGCTTTAGAAGGTACAAAAACAAAAAGAAATAAAGAATTAGAGCATTACAGTTTTATGTTTCTATGCACACTGTCAGTAGGAGGAAAGCATAGAATCAAGACTAAAGCCATTCGTCACCAAAGTGTTTACCATAAAGCTGCTGTTCCTTATGTCCTCTTCTAGAGAAAAATACTAACTCCCTTCACCTTGAAGTCAGAGAAAGACTCACTATGTAAAAATAATAAACTAATTGCTTTTATATTCATTAATGAGCTATCAAAATATTTCTAAAAAAAAAAAATTAAAGCATAGGACTGAGCCAAGTTGCCTTCTCTGTTTTGTTTTTCTTAGTTTTTAAATGGAGTAAACTAATCACAACCGATGCAGAAATTGAACTAGAAAATAGATTCACCAACACTGGTGGTGGTAGTGGTTGTGTGCCAGAATCAGTTTCGACTCATAGCGACACATATAGGGTTTCCAAGTCCCTATATCTTTATGGGAGCAGAAAGCTTCATCTTTCTCCCATGGAGCTACTGGTAGATTCAAACCGTTGACCTTGCAGTTAGCAGCCCACTACACTACCAGTGCTCCTTTCACCAACATTAAGTGAACATAAATTACTTTTTTGTTTACATCCTGTTCACTTTCAAATAGAATGTTAGTTTTCAGTGAAACACATATACATTTAACTAAAACAATAACAATACCAAAAGCTTTAGACATAATTTCAGAATCCTTAGCTACAGAGAATAGCAGCAGTTCAATTTATAAATGACTTATTATCCAATAAAAGGAAATACCAGGCTTTTAGGAGAAAACCATCTTCTCAAGCACTAAGCTCCAAGAGGAATGTACTGCCTGGAGCTTTGGAATAGAAGCTCAAATGTGTCTAAATCCAAATGTACCAAGTCAGTTGAAAACTGAGAATTTTCTTAAGTCTGATAATTTCTTTAAACAATAGAAATGTTTATGTCTTAAGTGATGTTAGGCATGACTTCACTGTATATTTCAATATTAGAACTGGTTTACTAAGCTACTTTTTGTGCAGCAAGTAGACAAAATAGTTTAACTGTATTATTTTCATACATTATGAAAACCCTGAAAGGTAGCAATTATCAGCACATTACATTATCTCATGAAGAAATTGATGTTCAAAATAATTAACTTAAAGGCAGAACATAGGTGTTGTTGTTTTTTTTTTAAAGATGAGCTTCAAATTCAAGTTTTTCTGAGGCAAAGCTCTTTCAACTCTACCACACAACCTGTAATACAATAAAGTTATAAAATGTTCACACAAGAGTTTATTATAATAATCAAGTATTGAAGACTAAGACATGATGTTGAGTTTATATGCATAAAGTTAATACAAAGTGCACACCAAAGTTTTTAATTGTAGAGATAAAAGTGATATAGGCCAAAGTGGCACTTACCCTGACAATGAGGATCCATTTGATCAATGACAGACCAAATCCACAGATAGCACCATACCTTCCAGCTATGGTATTGGTTATACAGAAGGATAAACAAAATCCAAGCCAGTTGAAAATAAATGCCACTAAAACAGAAACAGTCCTTTTAAAGACCACATTTAAAAAAAAGATTAACACACACATAGCAATGTGTTACTTATCAATGGGAACAATTACCTCTCGTGTAACTCTATGACCAAGTAAGCCCTCTTCATAGGCTGTAGTTAATTTTTTTTTGCAAACATATTAGTTATTTGCTATAAATCAACAAATGGGTAAGTTAGTTTCTTGTCAATTTGATTAACAAGAATAAATTCCTTAACGCTTATCACCAATGGGTAAAACTGCATTTTAAAATCAACTAAAAATCACATCACAATGTAGCATCCATGTGATCCCACTCAAGAAACTCAGTCTAGTCAAAGCGGCTTTAAAAAAAAAAAGCATTATGAAAGCATGTGTTGCATTGGGCAAATCAGCTGTAAAAGACCTCTTTAAAGTGTTAAAGGGCAAAACTCAGGACTAAGATGCACCTGAAACAAGTCATGGTAGATACAATCACTTCTTTTGCAGGTGAAAGCTCAACAATGAATAAGGAAGACCACAAAAGAACTGAAGCATTTAAATTATGGTGTTGGTGAAGAATATGGAAAGTACCAGTGATTGCCAGAAGAGCAAAACAAATCTGTCTTGGAAGAAATACAATCAGAATGTTCCTTAGAAGTAAGGATGGTTAAGACTTTGTCTCTGGTACTTTGAACACGTTGTCAGGAGGGCCCAGTCCCTAGAAAAGGACATTCTGCTTGGTAAAGGGGAGGGTCAGTGAAAAACAAGGAAGACTCTCAATGAGGACTGACGCAATGGCAGTAACAATGGGCTCAAACGTAGCAATTATGAGAACGGCTCAAGACCAGGCAGTGTTTCATTCTGTTGTACATAGGGTCGCTTATGAATCAGAACCAACTCAACTGCACCTAGCAACACTAAAGAGGGAGTCAAACAAATAATAATAATAGAGCTATGGGTCTCAGAGCAGACACTGAGCACTACTTCTTCCACAACTTAACAATCCTCACCACCACTGGCCACCCTCACCCTCATCCCCCCCCCCCCCGGATCCCAGTCTCCTCTACAAAGTCATTTATTCCAGAGGAGGAGGCTGAACCCCACACTTTGCCCCAGAAGAGGGTCCTGAGTATTTCTGGGACTATCACAAAGAGACTTTTCTCCCACCATAAGAGGATTTCCTTGCATACTAAAACCATTTCTAGGATCTTAAAAACACTTGGACATCAAAAGGGCAGCACTCAACCACGAACAAAATTCTATTTTATCTTGTTTGGAGGTTGTCCTTTTACTCTATATAGTAGTTGTTCTATATTTAAGTGGCTAATCTCTGTGTTAAGAGTGAGGTGGCTCTGTAGAGTAACCAATGGACTGCTAACCACAAGGCCGGCAGTTCAAGCCTACCAACCACTCCAAGGGAGAAGGATGAGGCTTTCTGCTCCTGTAAAGAACTGCAAGCCTCAAGAGCCCTATATAGGGTCACTCTGAGTTAAAACCAACTCAGTGGAACTTAACAATTTCTGTGTCAACAGTGAGAGAAAACATACAACATTTAGACAATCAAAAATAAGTTTATAACCTATTTTAAAATTTTGCATCAACAAATAGTGGTCGAGATTCCCAACAGATAAGCCACAGGTGTTATAGAGATCTGCTGAGATACTTCTTTCCTCAACCCTAAAGGGAACATGTGGGTGTGGAACAGAAGGTAGGCTGCCACCATCCCTGAACACCTTCATTCCTTTATCCCAATGTGCTGTAAACATTTTATCATTTCCTAAACATGACCTGATGTGACATGGTAGGGTAAACACTGGCCTGCTAACCGTGAGGTCGGTGGTTCAAACCCACTAGCCAGTCCTCAGAAACCCTATAAAGGATAGCTATGAGTCTGAACTAACTCAATGGCACTTACCAACAACATCAACAAGCATGTTGTGTTGTTAAAATATTAGATGCACTGATGGAGAGGATCCAAGATGGCAAAAGACTCCAATGTATAGTTTTATCTTTGGGGGGAAATAATGCAAACACTATTCAATTTCTTTAGTTATCAAACTTATTAATATCTATTTTATATATCACTGCACCCACAAAAGGATTAAGATCCAAAAGAACAAAACTGATAGATGTAGTCTGTGCTCATGTGACATAAATTTGTTGTTAAGTAACATTCAGTCAGTTCAGACTCAGTGACTCTGTCTAGGGATTTTGAGGAGCAGTTAGTGTGTTTAAACTGCTGAGCTTTTGAGTAGCAGTCTAGTGCTTTTCCTACAGTGCCACAAGAGGACTCCTGACCTAAGATAGGTTCACATTTACGTCTTTTGCCAAGAAGACAGAAATAGTAAAGCTGAATGGATTTTTAAGGCACAGAAAGGGCAGAGGCATTCAATTCCAGATCCTCTATGCATTAGCGTTTACCTAAGTTGGTACACAAATGTGTGTTAGCACCAACCCATGAGAAGCTAGACCAGTGATGTACCAACAGCAAAGAGCACACACCCAACCTTGTGGCTCAAAGTCCAGTACTTATCCTACAGCATCACATGAGGATTTCTGGCATCCATTCTGATATAAATAAATAATGACAGTGAGAGACCCAATAATCTTCCTTTCAGAAGAAATCCAATTAATAAATATAGAGGGAAATAAAAATTATCATTTAAAAAAAGCAATTAAATTCCTATAATCAAGGGAAGATTAAGCATATGTGCAAATGAAACAAAACATTAAAAATTAGGATTTACATTTCCAAACTTGGACTTTAATTCTGTACAAATTAATTTCCTGTCTCACAGATTATGTTTCCTGCAAGTCTAAAATGTGAATAATACAAGGCTTTTGCTGTGACAGTTTAAAGGATTATGAGAAATGAAAATATGACCCGGTGACATCCAAATTTTTTTCTTTATATTTTCTGAGAGAAAAAAAAAAAATTTTGGAGCAAGCAGTTTAGGGACATGTGTGGTATGAGATTGAAATTAAAAGTTGAAAATATAAAAGAGTTAAATACAACATTTTAATGGGAACAATCTTAGTGACAGTTACTGTGATTTTATTTGTACACTATATATGATGTGAAATGCCGATGTTTTAAACTACATTCAGGAAAATCTATTTCTAGATCTTTTATGCACAATAGTTTAAGCATAGAAAACAAAACAAGTTGCAATTTACAGAACAACCACTAGATGGTAGTGATTACAAATAAATCTATGTTTATCAAAGAAACTAAATCCTAACACTGGCCACTAGAGCCTATCAAGAAAAAAAAAAATATATCGAATCAGGAAATAAAGGTGAAAAATAACTTTTAATTTTATGTAGAAATGTAATTTTATAGAAGTCCAGTTGCTTCGTGGGAGAAAGATGAGGCTTTCTGCTCCTGCCAAGCCCTAGAAACCCTAAAACATCGTCATATGAGTCAACTGTTAAGAACCAACTCAACAGCACCTAATAATAATGTTATTAATAAACCACCACTGGCCAAAATCAAGTTATAAAGGTGTATACAAACTAACGCTGTTACATCAGTGAATTGTTGTAAAATATAAAATAGAAAGATTAAAGAATAGATATTGGTATGAAGTGAAATGCAGTAGTGGTTGTGTAATGTGGAGTCGATTCCGACTCATAGCGAGCCTGCATAAGGTTTCTGTGGCTGTGAATCTTTACGGGAACAGAAAGCCTCATCTTTCTCCTGTGGAATGGCTGGTAGTTTCAAACTGTTGATCTTGAGATTAGCAGCCCGACTCATAACCACAACACACCAGAGCTCCTTGAAGTGAAATATAAAACTGGAAAAATAAAAAGCCGAGTCAATTAAATGGTGCCAAACAGCATTTTTATTGCTGAAAATAGGTGTTTGTGCTACAAATACTCCAATAAATATGGATTTATTTTGCTAATAAAAATTTCTTAAAAGACCTTATGATTAGAAAGTTTGATGAAATAAAGTGTTATCAGCTGAACTAAAACAAGTGCTAACAGTATGAAACAACGTTGTTAAGTGCCATCGAGTCGCTTCCGACCCATAAGACCCTATATAGGGTTTTCAAGAGCAGCTGATGAGCTTCAACTGCCAGCCTTACAGTTCAAAGTCAACTTTGCAATCCAATACAATAACCCCACAGTAGGCACCATTTATTCAAGTTAACCTAACATGTTATCTAAAACTTATAATTAAAACCAGATTTAAATAATGCTTATATAATCTATAGACAACCTGAATACAATCTAGTAAATTGAAAAGAAAAATGTAACCCTACTGCCCCCTCAATTCCTGTGTGATTCTTTATTCTTCAGCTGTGAAATAAGGGTAGAAAGCAAGAAACAATTTCAAAATAAGAAAAAAGATGAGTGGATTTTCAGATTCCAAAGTAACTGAGGTAAGAATATATGTTTTCCACTTATAAAGCTGAAGTGGCATTTTTAAATAAGCAAACTACTCCTCAGTTCATTATCAAGAAACCTTAAGGTATGAAAGCTTGATCATTTAACCAGGTTGAGAGCAGACATACGTGTACCACAGTTTAAGAAACTTAGTTATAAGAATATTACATTTCCACTGCTCAATTAGCAATTTAAAGAGGTTATTGGAAAAAAAGTTTTTTAAATAGTTTATTGTCTAATATTATTTAATAAATAATTATAACACCATTTTCCCTCAGGAAGCCTTTTTTTTTTTTTTTTACTTTCTAAGTCTTTTTCAAGATGTTAAAAAATCAGGTTAACCAACAATTCACCATTTGCCCAAACAATATTTAAATTTCCAGACTTGTGTTACAGTTGTCCAAGGTATTCCTTTTCCCTCCCCATTGTGACTAAGGATACACATTGTATATGCTCCAAAAGCACTGAATGAATATCAGAATTATAGCATGTCCCATAGGAAATCATATTTAGTTTGTTGTTGTTGTTAAGTGCTGCTGAGTCACTTCTGACTCACAGTGACTCTGTATAGGGTTTTCCTGTATAGGGTTTCGGAGGAGCAGATGGTAAGCTTGATAATAGGGTTTCGGAGGAGCATATGGTAAGCTTGAACTGCCGACCTTCCAGTCCAGCACATGAATCCACAGTACCACACTAGGACTCCATATTTAGTTTACACATACTTATATAAAGGAGTCCTAGAGTGGTACTGTGGGTTAGGCATTGGGTTGCTAATTGCAAGGTAGGTAGTTCAAATCCCCCAGCTTGAGAAAGGCTCTCACCACAAATAACCCTATAAAAAGTTTGCACCTAATTTGATGTTTCTTTTTCTCAGAAAACATACGGAAAATACATGAGGCTGTCTGCTTGGGTATAGATACATAGTCTCAGACACCACTATGAGTTGGTGTTGCCTTGATGGCCGTGGGTGAGGAACTTATATAGTTAATATTGCCAGCATCCATCTAGAGTAATGACTAAAATATACTTAATCGATTAAGTGTTTCATTACCTCTGGGATTTGTATTCTACATATGATCGATCATACTCGGTATCCATTAATTCAATATCAGGAATAATTTACATTTTAAAACAAGGTAGACATAAACTAATTTTTTTTCATCACTATGTTACTTTAAACACACAAACAGCCAGTATTTGCCAAAAGAAGGAAAAATAATTTTTTTAAAAAAAGTATAGAAAGGAAAGATGACTTACTGAAAAATGCCAGCATGAAAATGCCATCATTACCCACTCTAAGCTGGTCAGCATCACTGAAGTCATCTCTTGGTGGACACTCTTCCTCCTGAATCTGTAAATCACATGAGTAGAGCTCAGTAAGATATTATCATTTTAGTTTGTTGTAAAGACAAAACAACTCTGTAAAATCCACTGTAAGCAATGGACTGCAAACCACAAGGTAGGCAGTTCTAGCTAACCAGCTGCTCTGCAAGAGAACAATCAGGCTATCTGTTCCCACAAAGATTTACAGCCTTGGAAACCCTAGAAAGGGTTGCTGTGAGTCAAAACCTACTCAAGGGCACAAAAAAACAAGTTGTTGATGTTTGTTGCTAAGTGCCATTGAGTCAGTTCTGACCCACAGCAACCCTGTTTAGGGTTTCCAAGGAGCAGCTGGTGAGCAGGTGAGCTTGAACTGCCAACCGTGCTATTCAAACTGACTTTGCATTCCAACGCATTAACCCACAGCACCACACCAAGACTCCAAGTAGTCAAAAAACATTAGCAAATATTACTTTTTCATGAACACCCTCAGAAAAAGTAATGTTAAAGGTAAACTTACAAACAAACAAACAAAAAAAGGGTGACTCACAGAATGATGAACATGGTAGAAGAATGCTCTTTTTGACACTGCTATAGTAGTGCCATCTGGACAAATAGCACCTTTCCTATATCAATGTAGAAGTGTGCATTGGTACAATCTCTATGGTTGGCAATTTGGCATATTTATCAAAAGTAAAAATGCCCAAACCAGATACATTGTTGTTGCTAAATGCCAGAGAGTCAGTTCTGACTCACAGCCAACACTGTATATGGGGTTTCTGAGAAGCAGCTGGGTAAGTCTGAACCACTAAACTTGTGGCTCAAACCAACCGTGCAGTCCAATGCTTGTCCTACAGTGCCATACCAAGATTCCAAATATAGGCATACTTAAAGTAAAAAAATACCTACAAAACTGGTAATATGGAACCAGAAGTATCAATTTATAATGAAGTCAACTACAAAGGAATAATGTGAACATAAAACTTTTTAAAAAGCAAGGAAGTAACACACTGTTTTAAATGGGAAAAAACAAATAAATTACAGGGTAACCTCAAAGAAAATTAACACATCTTCACATCAAAATTTAAAAGAGGAAAATCAGAAAGATTTAGTAAACATTAAAACATACAAAAAGAATACCCAAAAATAAAATGAACTCTGTGTAGTAAATTATGTAGAACAAAGAAACCACAAAAAACATACACAGCAAAATGGCAGCAATCAATTCATACCTATCGATAATTACATATAATATAAATGGATTAAATACACCAGTCAAAAGACAGACAGTAGCACAATGGATAAGAAAACAGGATCTTTCAATGTGCTGTCTACAAGAGACACATCAAAATGATGAAGACAGCCAAAATGACCATCAATAGAAGAATATAGTTATGCAAACTTTGGTACATACATACAGAGAATCTGCAAACACCTCACAACATGGATGAGCCTGGAGGACATTATGCTGAATGAAATTAGTCAATCACATAAAGACAAATATTGTATGAGATTATAGTTATAAAAAGTTAAGAAAAGGTTTTCTTGATAAAACAAACATTCTATGATGGATATCCAGTGTGGCTCAGTAGAAGCAGAATTGGTGGGTAGTTCAAACCCACCAGCTGCTCCTCAGAAACCCTACACAGTTATTGCTATGAGTCGGAATGAATTCAACAGCACAAAATGATTACTTGGGTCACAGAGGGGAAATTATTCATGGACTAGAGGTTAGAAATATTTAATACTGGTGATAGGACAAGCAATATACAACAAGAGGGAGGTTGGCAGAAGGAAGATGAAGGTAGTGGGAAACACAGGGAGAAAGAGAGAGTTAAAGTGAATACAGGTTGTTGCTGTTATGTGCCATTGAGTCAGTACCAACTCATAGTGACCCTAATGCACAACAGGCCGTGTAACAGTGTCCGGTCCTGGGCCAAATTCACAGTTATTGCTATGCTTGAGTCTACTGCTGCTGCCACTGTGCCAATCCTTCTCGTTGGGGGTCTTCTTCTTTTTCTCTGATCCTCCACTTTACCAAACATAATATCCTTCTCCAGGGCCTGGTCCGAGTATGAAAGGAAGTCTGTCCATCCTGGCTTCCAAGGAATACTCTGGCTGTACTCCTTCCAACACAGATCTGTTTATTATTTTGGCAGTCCATGGTATTTTCAATACTCTCTTCCAACACCGTAAGTCAAATGTATAAATTCTTTTACAATCTTCCTTATTCAGTGACCAGCTTTCACATGTACATGAGGTTATTGAAAATACTATGGCTTGGGTCAGGCTCATCTTAGTCTCCAAACTGACATCTTTGCTCTTCAACACTTTAAAGAGGTCTTGTGCAGCAGATTTGCCTAATGCAATATGTCCTTTGATTTCTTGATTGCTGCTTTCATGATGATGGATGGTCCGAGCAAAATGAAGTCTTTGACAACTTCAATCTTTTCTACATTTATATGAATATTGTTTATTATTCCAGTGGTTAGGATTTTTGTTTTCTTTACATTAGGATGTAACCCAGACCAAAGGCTGTGGTCTTTTGATCTTCATCAGTAAACATTTTAAGTCCTCCTCACTTTCAGCAAGCAAAGTTGTATCGTCTTACATATTGGAAGTTGTTAACGAGTCTTCTTCCAATCCTGATGACACATTTTTCTTCATATAGCCCAACTTCTCAAATTATTTGCTCAGCATACAGATTGACTAAGTATGGTGAAAGAACATAACCCTGGCACACACCATTCCTAATGTTAAACCATTCGGTGTTCCCTTGTTCTATTTGAACAACTGCCTCATGGTCTGTGGACAGGTTCCTCGTTAGCACTATTAATGAATGGAATATGCATTCTTGACAATGTTGTCCATCGCTTGTCATGATCCACAAAATTGAAAGCCTTTGCATAGTCAATAAAGCACAGGTAAATATCTTTCTGGTATTCTCTGCATTCAGCCAAGATCCATCTGACATTAGCAATGATATCCCTGTTACATGTCCTCTTTTGAATCCCAGCTTGAACCTCTGAAGTTCTCTGTCAATATATGGATGCAGACGTTTCTGTATTATCTTTAGTACTCACATGAGATATCAATGTTACTGTCTAATGATTTCCACTCCATTGGGTCACACCTCTCTGTGGAATGGGCACAAATACAGATCTCTTCCAGTCAACTGGCCAGGTAGTTTTCTTCCAAATTTCTTGCCATAGATGAGTGAGTGCCTCCAGTGCCACATGAATTTGTTGAAAGATTTCAATTTGCATTTCATCTATTGCAGGTGACTTGTTCTTTGCCAATGTTTTCAATGCACCTTGGACTTCCTTCCTTCAGGATCACTGGTTCTTGATCATAGGCAAATACTGTTAATTGATGGTTCATGGAAGTGACTGGAATCATTATAATGAAGCAAAATACAAGATTTGCTGAATGTAAAACTGATCTCTGTAAAGCATCACACAATTCACATTAAATGTTTCAAAAGAAAAGAGAAAAAATCAAGTAGCTCATTTCCATAACTCTATTTACTCATAATGTACAGGAAAAACTAAATATTAGAAATACAAAACAGACAACAGTATTGTTTCAAAATCCATGGCTACATATATTTTCCTAATAAAAGATTTAAAAATTGTAAGCTCACCCAGCTCTCATACTCGTTTATAGATTCTCAAGTTGTACTCTCATACTCTCAATTAATGTATTGTGTACAACTGCAAATTGTTTCCTAAGAAGTTTTATACAGTCCCCTTGACTCACAGGCTGGGGTGAAACAAAAAATCAGAAGCAAATGAAAATAAAAGAATTATGTTTGTACACGTGTTCCAAAAAAGCTAAAACTCTTCACACATAATTTTCTAACACCTGGCAATGGAAATGATGACAAGGAAGGGATAAAATAGTAACACTTCAGAGTTTTCTCTCCAAACATGGTAATATCATCTTTATGCTAAAAGCACATCTGTTGTTATTGTTTTTGGCTGTTACTGAGTCAGATCCAAACTCCAATTCAAGGTGACAGAATGGAAAAAAATGCTGCCCAGGCTGAGGCAAAGCTGTGATTGAAGCGGATTGGACCATTGTAATCCATAGGGTTTTTCCATTGCACTATTTTTGAGAAGTAGATCACCAGCCCTTTTTGCCCAGTCTATATTAGTCACATGAAGCTGTCTCCTCAAAGTAGAGTTGATCATGATGATGCAAATGGAGTAACCATACAGTGCCCTCATGTGCTGATAGGACACAACTCAAAATAAGGAGAAATAGTTGCAAATATTCATTAAAAATCAAATTGAATTTATAAAGAATGCATACAGGAAAATTCAAAGTCGTCAAAAATGAAATGGAACACATAAAGATCAATATCCAAGGCATTAGTAAGCTACAATGGACTGGTATTGGCTATTTTTAATCTGACAATCACATCGTTTACAATGGCAGAAATGACTAATTGAAGAGCAGTGGTGTCACGTTCATTATAAAAAAAAATTTCAAGATCTTGAAGTATAATGTTGACTGTGACAGATTAATATCCATGCATCTACAAGGAAAATCAGCTGATACTATTATTCAAATTTATACACAAACTACTAAAGCCAGTGAGAATGAAATTGAAGAATTCTACAAACGTCTTCATTCTGAAACTGACAAACATTCAATCAAGATGCATTGATAGTTACTGGTGATTAGAATGTGAAGTATGAAAACAGAGGAAGGTCAGTAACTGGAAAATATGGCCATGGTGATAGAAATGCTGTAGAGTGCATGATAGAATTTTACGTGTGGCACTGTAGGATCAGTACTGGACTACTAAATACAAAGTTGGCGGTTCAAACCTACCAACCATTCCTTGGAAACCTCATACAGGGTTGCAATGAGTCAGAACTGACTCAGTGACACTTTACAACAGCAAGTTATTCCTTGTAAATGCCTTTTATAAATCACATAAAAGACAATTCTACACATGGACCTCAAAAGATGGAATACACAGGTGGTGCTGTGGAATAATGTGCTGGACTGCAAAGTTGGTTT